TTAGGATTTTTGGTAACTTTCATTGGAGATGTTGTTGGGTCGAGCTCATCATTTATTATACCCTTGATACACTGCAAACCGGGTAGTTTCAATAGTGATTCAAGTAGGCATCTATATTTTACATGCGATTCGCAATGATTTGTGCCTAGCTACAGAAGAAGTAAACTTATGTGGGAAAAAAGTATGATTTCTTTACATGTCTATTTTCCTTCACTATCTTGAGTAATCATCAGCATGATCAGAAAAAACGCAAAAACACCTTAATATCATTTCTCAACCCAAAAAAAAGTAATAAAAAAACGCGCTTTTCTTCGGAGGAATGCAAGGGAGTCACTTTCTAGCCAATGAAAGAAATACTTTCCTCCGCGCCGCGGAGTGAAGCCTGCTGGCTGTGCTCAGTCTTTGCATGACAAAGACGACTCGCACAAACTTCGAATGTCTCAATAGTAATATCGAATTCCGAATCTACTTTACAGTATGGAATTTTGTCCTCTATCGCCCTTCTTCACTTGGGCTTTGTTGAGAATATTCCCTGTTTATGTACCATGCTATAAAGGAGGACGAAGCTTTGAAAGAAGGAGATACATTTGCTATTCGCATTCATATAGCTCACGAGACTCGCTGAAAAGCTGAGGCAGGCACATTGTGTTATGTCCTCAATAAAGTCAGCTCTCGTCAAAAGTGAAATATATTTGATTCAAAGTGTACAATAATCTTAAAATTACGCTGAAGTATTTCAGTTTCCCTCTAGGCAAAACGCCGCGTGCGTTTCATAATTGATTTCTAGCTACGCTCAGAAAAATGCAAAAATTTCAATGAATGGAATATTTTTTTCTCTGAAAAACGTGATGATTCTCAAGTATTAAACTAGAAATCATTCATTTTTCTCAGACGCGGTCCCTTTCAAAAATCCAAAGTCGAGTAAAAATATTTTGAAAGTAAAAATAGCTTACACGCGTTATGACCTTAGGCTAGTCACGTAATGCACTTTCTCGGCATTTTTGACCCTCCGTCACTCCCTCGAAACACTTTTAGGACTTATGGGCTTATCTTTTAACACGTGAAAACAAAACGGCGTAGGGCTCTCCTCACTACTTCTCCTACAGCGTAACGTAATTCAGTATGAATGNAATGTATAAATCAATGCAGGAAATTAATTCATAACGTGTAGCAATTTTAATACTTTACGTGAGCAACACATTCCAAGATAGGAAAGACGTTCTTAAGCCTCGTTTTTTTTAAATCAATTTTGGAATCTTAGCAACACCTCATTTGTAGCATACACCGGAGCATTCAGAGTTCACGCCTCGCGCTTTCGCGCCTTCAATTTTCCAAATACAACACGGACATCCATTTAGCATGAATAGTTGTATCTCTGCGCCGTCTTCAAGGCGGGTCCATATCCTTGCTCTAATTCCATACTATGCGTGTATGTAGTATGACATCATATTAGTGAAGATTTATTAAAATTTTAAACTGAAAACTCCAAAACAACCGTCGTTCGTTGACTCACATGGAAGAGAGAGAGAGAGAGATATCATGATGACATCTTCCTCTCTCTCAAACAACGTTAGGATTTTTGGTAACTTTCATCGGACATTTTGTCGGGTCGAGCTCATCATTTATTATACCTTTGATATACTGCAAACCGGGTAGTTTCAACAGTGATTCAAGTAGGCATCTATATTTTACATGCGATTCGCAATGACTTGTGCCTAGCTACAGAAGAAGTAAACTTATGTGGGAAAAAATTATGATTTCTTTACATGTCTATTTTCCCTCACTATCTTGAGTAATCATCAGCATGATCAGGAAAAACGCAAAAACACCTTGTTATCATTTCTCAACAAAAAAAAAGTAATATAAAACGCGCTTTTCTTCGGAGGAATGCAAGGGAGTCACTTTCTAGCCAATGAAAAAGATACTTTCCTCCGCGCCGCGGAGTGAAGCCTGCTGGCTGTGCTTAGTCTTTGCATGACAAAGACGACTCGCACAAACTTCGAATGTCTCAATAGTAATATCGAATTCCGAATCTACTTTACAGTATGGAATTTTGTCCTCTATCGCCCTTCTTCACTTGGGCTTTGTTGAGAATATTCCCTGTTTATGTACCATGCTATAAAGGAGGACGAAGCTTTGAAAGAAGGAGATACATTTGCTATTCGCATTCATATAGCTCAAGAGACTCGCTGAAAAGCTGAGGCAGGCACATTGTGTTATGTCCTCAATAAAGTCAGCTCTCGTCAAAAGTGAAATATATTTGATTCAAAGTGTACAATAATCTTAAAATTACGCTGAAGTATTTCAGTTTCCCTCTAGGCAAAACGCCGCGTGCGTTTCATAATTGATTTCTAGCTACGCTCAGAAAAATGCAAAAATTTCAATGAATGGAATATTTTTTTCTCTGAAAAACGTGATGATTCTCAAGTATTAAACTAGAAATCATTCATTTTTCTCAGACGCGGTCCCTTTCAAAAATCCAAAGTCGAGTAAAAATATTTTGAAAGTAAAAATAGCTTACACGCGTTATGACCTTAGGCTAGTCACGTAATGCACTTTCTCGGCATTTTTGACCCTCCGTCACTCCCTCGAAACACTTTTAGGACTTATGGGCTTATCTTTTAACACGTGAAAACAAAACGGCGTAGGGCTCTCCTCACTACTTCTCCTACAGCGTAACGTAATTCAGTATGAATGACTCCCCAACCATGAGTCTTACGGAATTATACAACTTCAAATCTCATTTTCCAAATTCAAACTTGATGCGGCTTACAATTCTGCCGTGCTAAGTAAAAACGCCGTATGAACATTCGAGAGTTACCAAATTTCCCTAGATAAAGCATATATTTTTGACGAATTTCATGCATACTTTTCCGTGAAATTTTCAGATAATTTAGATTAAATTGCGTACAAAAGTGTCTGGATATTTTTTTTTTTTTTTTTTTTTTTTTTTTTTTTTTTTTTTTNGTACTTTCAATATTCTCAGTAAATTTGGTTTTCATCGAAGGAAATTCGGCAGCGTTTGAAGGTTCATACGCCGTTCTTCCTTACCAGAATTAGTACGATTCTGATACACTCGGTCCGAACGAAGTACGGAGTAAGCTGAGAATTAGGGAATTAGCATGGGGCGTTATTTCAGGCATCCGTCGCACGGTCAAACTATCGAGACTCGAAGTTTCGATCGGCGTGAAGTCGCGTCAAAAGGCTCCCACGCTCACCAAGGAGACTAAAGACCAAAGCGTGCCCGCTCCGAGAGGGAGCGGTCAAAACTTTAAGCTTTAATAGTATTTCGGAGCCGGAATCAAATTAGCCGCAAACTTTTCGCAACTTCCCCCGGAGTATCTCCGCCGTGACGAGACGATGGACACCGGCGGGATCAACGACTATCGATATTTCCCCATTTGAAGCCGTGGTAAAGAATCGATTATCAAAGTCGACGCTAATAATCGATCCTTTTCCTTGCCTCCAAAGGCGGGTCCATCGATTACTCGAAAAGCGCACTCATGGGGACGATCAACCCGTGTCGGATATCCAGTGCTCGAGCTAATTGTAAAATTTCAGTAGACTCCGGATCTTGTCTGTCTCTAATCCAACCCCTTCCGAGAGCTTTCCCAACTTTTCATTCGCGTCCTTAATCTTGTAGCATTGTCCGAAATTGCAGTGATACGCAGGGAATTTAATAAGATACTTAACTGGAGCAATAATTGAATATGACAACACGACGAAAAATGTTCAGAAGCGGATCCAGCAATTTGGCAACATCGGATTTCCTCCATTTAAACCTATGTTAAATAATCGATTCCTGTTAGAGTACCCAGCCCCTCCAAAAATCGATACATCTCCATAAGTTTAAATGGAGAAAAAAGAATGTTGCCAATTTGCTGGATCCGCCAATGAAAATGTTGTTGTAAGCCCTTCAGCCACGCAATTTGTGGTCCGCATCGGCAGTGGCGACTCTGGAAAGTTGGCAACATTGTTATTACTCCATTCAAATGCATTGAATATATCGATTGTAGGTGAGGCATGGTCGAAGAAGATGGAAAAAACAATGTTGCCAACTTGCAAGGATCTCCTTTAGCGATCGGTCGCGTGCGAAAATAGGAAGGCTCTAAAAACGGGTTCCAATAATGGGGATAGGCTCAGGCTGTTGCAAGATAGCGTAGAAATCACATATTTTCCTATAATTTGAGGTAGAATCTGCGTGTTTATCAACAAAACTCGGTCAAAATTGCGTACATTTTGCAAAATTGCGGCAATTCCTACGTTAAGAGCAAAAAAATGTCTTTATTTTGAAATTTCTGAGGAAAAAGAGGTCTTCAAAATGGGACGGCCAATTCGAAAAATGGGGAGCCTAACATATTTTGCATTTTCTTACAGTTATTGTAATTACAGTCTTATCCTCCGACATTTAGCTGCACTACGTTTTAATCAATTTATGAATAATTTTTTTTCTTATATGTATTAAAATATGAGTAGAAGTCTTTGAAGTCTTTACAAAGTCTTTGATTCCAAAGGATTCAATTCAACTTTTCTTTAGCCTCCCGTCCTGAAATGTCCCTATCATTCATTCGGTTTTCAACGGCTATCCGCTGAGATTTTGATCTGTTGCGCCCATTCTCCAACTCTATGCTATTACATACGGCAACTGATGGCACATATGGACCGCGTTAGGCAGAAAGAAACCACGCCACATCTGCTATTGCCAAATTTAACTGGGCACTTTAATTTTTTTACAAGAAAATGTTAGTGCGGATTTCCATGAAACTTTTAGGGAATTCGCTTCGTACTACGCAGAAAATTTGCTGAAATTTTCACAAAAATCCGCATTTCATGTAAATAATTAAATTGCTCAGTTAAATTCGGCAATAGCTGATGTGGCTTGGCTCCTTTCTGATTAACAAGGTCCATATATCGTGTATAAAGTGAGCCAGATACTCTGGTTCCTAATTGCAAAATGTAGACCAACTATGCACTAAAGAAGGTAATCTGATTTGTTGCAGTGAACAATGTGGGCAAGCAGTACGCGTACCCGACTTACCTCGGCGAGGTGCCCGAACAGGATCTGTGGGACATCGTCAACATCAACGTGGGCGCCGCGACGGCCATGACGCGAATGCTCGTCCCGCAAATGAAGGAGAGACGACAGGGAGCCATCGTCAATGTTTCTTCAAGTTCCGAGATGCAGCCCCTTCCTCTCATGACCGTATACGCTGCCTCCAAGGTAACAACAAAGTCAAATGTATCAGTGGCTAACCTAGGGGCCGATCCAGTGCCCCCTCCTCCCAAAAAAAAAAAATCGAAAGGAAGCAACTTGGATTGCGTTTTGCAAAAAGGAACCAAGAGCATTCCAATGTTGCTAGGATTGAAAAACTTAAATTCATTGCAAAAAATTACAGAAATCATGATAAAAATTAAATTTGGAATCGTGAGTTTTGTCTTGAATTCATAATTTATAGAAAGTAAAGATAAAACTTTTTCAGATGATCAGTTTCTATTCGCAAGGTAAAAAAAGTTGCACAATCTTAGCGATACTGGAATGCTTGTGGTTCCTTTTTGCAAAATGCAATCCACTTAGTGCTTGTTCAAATTTCGCAAGGGATGGAATCCGAGGCCATGAAATTTCAAGAAATGTAGGATTATCTTCTTCTATGGAGATGATTTTGCTCATGAAAATAATGATTGCGTACGGTACAGAAACTTAAACATGGAAACTTAATTGAGAAAGTCTGAGGTATGGTATTATTTCTAGGACACTGTATTTTACGGTTCGACCATTCTTCTCTTACGTCGGATTTTGGACGGGGCACTTAGGAGTGCCATTAATGAAGCTACTGTGGCTGAAACAAGAACGTTAGGAGGAGGATTTATGCGTCCTCTACTGTTGAAAAAAGAGAATGCTCTGCCTGCTAACAAGTAGAATATGATATTTTTATATTGGAGAAACAGGTGTAACGATGATGAAAGTTCTAAATTGCTGAAAGATCTGCGAGAGATTGAGAGTGGGAAACTGTAAAAACGCATATCTGTAGACCTCCTGTAAAATATACGATTTAAAGGTTGGGTTCCCTACTAGAATTGATTAAAATAAAATGACGGGAATTCATTTTTCCTCCAACTGCAACCGTGATAGCAAACTTGCGCGTAATCACGAAATACGAAGAAAAAAATTGAATTTCCATTGCAGTGCACTCCTAATACCGCTCATCAAATTATTAATGCTTGGCGCTGGACTCGTAATCCTCAAAGACCGACTTTCAAGAGACTGGAATAGAAACAAATTTAAAGCCCCGCTGTTGAAACCCCTACCATAACTCAGTGACCACAATATCTCGACGAGCTTCTAGAAGTGCATGTATTGTCCTGACAATTCGCATTGGTTCGCACAAAGAGTTTCTGCGCCGCAAACTTTCCCGCTCGGCAGTGGAGCGAAACTTTAAAAGCCAAACGCAACAAAGAAGAGGAAGTCCAGGGCGGGGATCGGCTAAATGAATTCGTAGCTTTAAAAAGTTTCCAGTTTGTCGGACGAGCGCAGAGAGCAGTCAGATTAGGTGTGATGATGTATGGGCACACGGGCTCTTGGAAGCACGGAACTTCGTTGATGCTTCACGTCGCTTTGTTGTTGAAATTTCATTTTTTAATTTTTTTAAAATTATCATGCTAGGAAGGAAAAAAAATGTATTCACGATATTATTTAAATTTGACCGAGCTGACTCTCTGCCGTGCTAGGGAGGAACACCGTATGAGCCTTTAGGCGTTACCAAATTTCTCCTGGCAACTCACTAATTTTCAGGAAAATTTTTTAATATTTGTCTACCAAATTCTCAGATGATTTCGTTTCTAATTCGATCTAGAATGCCTTAAAATTTCAAGGAAAAATATTCATAATTTTCCCAAAAAATGAACATTTTATCAAAGGAAATTTGGTAACTCTCGAATGTTTATACGGCGTTTTTCCTTAGTACGGAAGCTCTGGTTGGTGCCGTGCATTAACCATCTAGTAGCGATTGTTGAAAACAATGACCTTTCAAAACATTTTTCAAAAACTCTTAAAAAACTGTGAAAATGTTCGTATTAGGACACCCGGCTTTTTTTTAAAATAAAATTCAAGTTCAGGGAAGGCACGCCCCGGGGAGGAAGGCCATACCGATGTACAATGGAATCTTCTGGAATCAGCGGATTTCCAAAAGGAACAAGAGGAGAATGTATACCGTTGTGGTCAGTATAGTATTCTTACATGTGGATGTGAAGTTTGGCAGCTGAAAAAACGGACACAGAAAGGCTCACGTTCGGAATGAAAGGGTACGTGAAATTATGGGGGTCGAAAACGCAACATAGTGAATGACGTTATCACGAAACAGCTTCTCTGGTATGAGCATATGCAACGGATGCCAGATGATAGGTTGCCTAAGAAGGTTCTGAATTGCCTCTCCCCCCCCCCCCCCTGGCAGAAAACGCAGGGGACACCCTCGTGCCATGCCATACCAAATCGTGGATTGAGGGAATAAGTCAGGAAATGAGGAGATGCGATCTACCGGAGAAGCTCTGGCAGGATCGCTAAGTGGCGGTTGGGTGTCACAGAGCGCACAAAAGCGCTATATGGGTGACTCGACGAGTCACCGACTCGTTAGTAGGAGAAACGTACACAGGATATGCTATGAGTAACGGAGATGGATTTTGGAAAGGGCTGGCTGGACTTTCTGGAAGAAATCGGGTCCACGATGAAAGAGTATGTCAGATCATGGGAGTCGAAAACGACATCATCAGCGACGTCATGATCAAACAGCTTTTCTGGTATGGTCATGATAGTAGGATGACGGAGGAGAGGCTGCCGAAGAGGATACATGATTGGATTTCTTCTGGGAGGAGAAGAAGAGGACGCCCAGTGAACAGGGGGTGACAGGGGGTTTTAAAGGAAATGGGGGGAGTGCCAACTCCCTAATGGGCTTTGGCAGGATAGGGGACTTATGCGGCTGGGTGTCGAAGAGCGCCCAAGAGCGCTATGAAAGCGGCTATATGTATGTGTATGTAAAATTTAAGGAAAAAAGTGTTAACAAATTCTTAAAATATCTTTGTAGTTTTCTAATCACAAACTCTAATAATTTTACAATGGACTGACTTAGCCTGTGTACATGATTAATTTGGTTGGTATACAGTGTAATAGCACCAGCTGGGTAAGCTAGGTTAGAATAGCCATGCTGTTGCTGTTGGTGCAGAACATAATTGGGTTTTCGTGGTGTTCCTCTTATCGTCTTCTGTTTTTCGGCTACTGGAGAGCGTCTGGCGCTGTAATAAATGCGCTGACCGTGGAAATTACCAAGTTGATATTCGGGTTTTGAATTTCAGAACTTCTCCACTTAAAACTGGAAGATACGGTGAGATTGCTAAGATTGCATGAAAACCGCATTGAGCAAAAGTTATTTGCAATATATACCCCAGGCGATAATGCAGCAATTCCGACAAACTTGCCAAAGCTTTCAGGAACGTGATATAATTTGAAAAGAAAACCCCTTCACCCAAGATATAACGGAAAAAGCAATATAAAAATTCTTTGAGGTGTTGTTTTGAAAATACGCAATCATGAACACTTAACATTTCCTCGAAGCAAGGGTTTATTGCATTAAAAACCTCCCAGGAGTTTCCTCAGTAAAACTCAATTTTTATAAGATACGATTTTTCCTTGAAAAAATGAAGAATTCTTATTTTTTTTGATAGATCTAAAAATTCCTGTAGAGAAATAAAAAATGGTAGCCTCAAGAGACAAAAATACGGCTGGAAGAATAATAAGAGAGAGCTTTGTTTTCAATCATCAATCATAATTTGGAACGTCAGCAATTCAGCTCTACACATATTTCTATGTATCTAGTTTCAATTCAGCTCTACACATATTTCTATGTATCTAGTTTCATTACTCAAGAGTCATTCAAGTAGTCATCCTTCATCAAATCTTTTTTTGAATATCTAATTTCTAACCTGGATAAAAAAAAATACCTCAGTTAATGGCAAATGCGGCAGCGCAGTGCGCTAATTTGTCGCATTTTAATCACGAGTAATATTTCGCTCCGTTCCCGGCCAACCATTCCGCCAACTTATCTCTTTTTGGTTTTGACAAAGGCATTATGTATTTACCGAGAGCAAAGTTAGTTCTTCCGGATTAGTCTTACTTATTTATCTTTTCTCCATAGAGCTGCATATTCGCAATCCTGTTCAGAACTCTCGAGATCTTGCAGTCCCTACGATGTTCTTCGGTCGGACGCCCTGCGGATCTAAACAGAATATAATGAGTCCTTGCTAAAGATCACTTAGAAGTTTTTATGCTCCCGATTGGGTCTGTTTCTTTCAAAATTTCCGGGTGGCAAACTCTCGGTACGGGACGTGAACCATTTAAATGCACTGTCTTTCCTTTTTTATCGTTCTGTATTCAAGCAAATACGACTTGATCCCTCATACTGAATTACTAAAAACTGATAAGTCTTCGAAATTTCAGGAGGGAAGCTTACTCGCACGTTGTTCCGCCGTATTTTTAAAAATTGGCGCACTGGAACGATATTTTACTTTTCTTCCTCTTTTTTTGGATTCCTGAAAATCGTTCCATCAAGCTTTGCCGAAAAATGAGCCGTGAATTTATTTTTTCGAAACCATTTTCAGTTTCAAAGTAAGGAGTGAGAACAAAAGATAAAAGGCCGAAGAAAAGCTTCTTAGAATGCCGTGTCGAGACGGCGGCAATAGCGTCACAGTTTTTACAGGCTTAAGTGGCAAGGAAGAGGATTTGCAGAGTAAAATAAAATACGTTCAATATCACTCGCTGCATAACCGCATTTTACTCGATGGTAAAAGGCTAAATTGCAAGCAGGGTTGTCATTTTGTGTTATGAATATTCCAATTTTAATATCTATCCTACCATTCAGAAAATCTAGCCAATATTTATTCAAAGTCGCAACGTTTATTGTGCTACCGTTTCACTATTAAGATACATGTAAACTTTCATCTAGGAGTGCAGCGGTGAATCGTATTTGCTCGTGTTTTGATCCAGTTACTGTGATCTCATATCGCAGCGGACTGACTTTAAGGTTTCTTGCGGAGGGGACACATAATGCAAACAGTTATGAAAATGAATGGAAAAGTGCTAAGGATGGGCACAAAAATGAGAGCACTATCTCGTTTCGAAAATGTACTATGGCCTCTTCAAAACCACCTATGTTCTATCGGGAAATACAAAAATTTTCAGTTTGAATCTCTAGCTCTAATTAAGAAACACAAATAAGAAAAAACTCATGTTGATGATTAAACTGCACATTGATTGAACACACCTTGATTTGAAAAACACACGATGTTACAAAAAAACATGTATCGTTTCTAAACTATGAGCTAGAAATTGTAGTTACTAATTGCAAAGTGTTGTCCATTTGACCTTAAGCCGTTCGCTGAAGCACGAGAGTTAAATCTGATCGAATGATCCTATAGCTATGTCTATACTTAAGGTGATTCGATGGACGTCACATTTAGTGTCAAAACGACACGCGACATATCGCATCGATTGGTTCCATTTTTTCAGCTACTCGTCATTTTTCTCGAATTTTGAGATCGCAATTCTGTCGTCAGGGGACTAAAGAATTCACTTACCAATTGTGATAAATGAATTCAACGTTGTACAAGCGTGGCTTTTTTAGAGAGAATATATCGCATTCGAGAGCAGTTTCGATATCCGTATCGAATGCAATATTTCTCCTCTATAAAAACACGGTTTAATTACGTTGAATTTGTTTGTCACAATATTGGAAGTGAATTCTTTAGTCTCCTGACAACGAATAAAATTGCGAACTCAAAATTTAAGAAAAATTATAGGTAGCTGGAAAAATGGAACCAACTGATGCGATGTATCGCATGTCGTTATGAAAAACATATAGCGTCCGTCGAATCACCCTAACAGTGTTATTTTTGTTGTTGTAGGTGTTCCTGAAGAGCTTTTCAGATGCGCTGCGGTTCGAGTACGAGAAAGATGGGATCACGGTGCAGCATCTGTCACCTCTGTTCGTGAACACGAAGATGAACGCGTTCAGCCACCGACTCCAGGAGACAAGCCTCTTCGTCCCTGACGCCCAGACATACGCCTACAACGCTGTCAACACCCTCGGCCAAATCAACCACTCCACTGGATACTGGGCTCACGGTCTCCAGGTATTTGCCCTCATACTGTTCGTCTTTTCAAAGTATATCAGTACCGCCGTGCTGAGGAAGAACGCCGTATAAACATTCGAGAGTTGCCAAATTTCCTTCGATAAAATGTTTATTTTTGAGGAAAGTTATGAATATTTTTCCTTGAATTTTTCAGGAAATTTAGGTGAAAATGCAAACACCATTATCTGAAAAAATGGGGGAAAAATATTCATAAGTTTACCAGGGAATTCGTGATTTAGAAATGGAAATTTGGCAACGCCTGAAGGTTCATACGGCGTTCTTCCTTGGCACGGCTAAGTAAGCATCCTCATCCTAGCAGAGCAAGTTTGTTCAAAAACGTTTCATTTTATATCTTTAGAAGACAAACTGGGAGATGATTGGGCCGCGTGAAGCAGAAAGGAACCAAGCCACATCAACTCTTGCCAAATTTAATCGGTCAATTTAATTTTTACATGAAGATGGTTGTGCGAATTTCAGTGAATTTTCTGCACAGTACGAAGCGAATTCCTTTAAATTTTTAAAGGTCTCCGCACAAAGATTCTCTTGTAAAAAATTAAATAGCCCAGTTTGACTTGGCAATGGTTGATGTGGCTTAGTTCATATCTGCCAAACGCGGTCCAATTGTGAACTTCCTCGGCAAAAGGGCGTGAGAGGTTTTTAATCCTGCTGACATGGTACAACGTATCTCTTTAATTCCAAATGGATGACATTTTGAAAATTAGGAACTAAAATGTCTGTCTCAGCTTAGAAACAACGTATGTTTCATTAGTTGTTTATGCATTTGAGTGTTAAAGCAGATGAGGCAGCAATTGTAGTTCCTGATCGCAAAATGTCGTCCGAAAGCTCTGTCCTGAATTTTTCACCGAATCTACTCCCACCAATCCAAATCTTTTCCCACCAATGTGTGGAAGTTAGTGAACTGTAAATGAATTTCATTGGCTCCAAATTTTCCCTCTGCCTCCGATCTGACAACTTGAGGCGCCTACATAAATATTTCATTTCAGGCAATCCTGCGTCAGGCATGATCGCAACTCGAAACGCCTTCATTGTTGCGCGATACTCTACGCACTGCCCCACAGTTAGTTTAGTTGCTCGGCCGATTCAAACCCATGTTTAGTCTCCGAGATGAATGTTCCTCTCCGATGGATCCTCACAGGAGCAAGTTTTCGTTTTCCAGCATCTTAACGTCCGTGTGATACTTTTTAGCGTGAATGTTTTTTAATAGAATTAGAGAGTTACGCTCCCTGACCGCTTAGCGGTCCAATCTCCGGAAGCGCTTCGCGTCTTAAACGCCATGCGTCACGCATACCTACTAAGGTTTTTTAGTGCAACTGACCCATACATTCTATATTTACGAAAAAATCACCAGGGTGCGTCTGCATACGACCTCCGCGGACCTCTCCGTAATGCCTGAGAAGTTGGTCAAAAGCCCGGAGCGTGCAGTAATTTTGCATCGGCTCATAAAACGCGAGTCGCTAATTTCCCGACGCACTTGATGAACTTTGGAAATTTCAGCACCTCCTTGGTTGTTAAAAGTCCCGCGCCGAAACTTTCGGGAGAGGGCGCTCGGAGAGAGAGAGCCGCGGGGTAAATTTCCAATTAGGCCCGGATCAAGATCGAGGCCGCACTTTTTTACGACCCGAGGGCCGCGGAGTTAAGGCGCGAGCAGATGTCAGCTTCATCAACAGCCATGAGCTTCGCCGCTTCATCATTTATGTCTCGAAGTTCGGCACTTAGAGCTCGCACTTAGACTTTACGGCCACGCTAAGTGCGGCCCGCAACGGCGCGGCAGTTAGCGGTCTCTTGGTGGAAGGCGTGCTTCTATTGCTAATTGAAATATTATACTCGAGCATACGGCAGTTTGCGGGATGAGAGACCAACAGGGGGTGTCTCTTCCTCTTCGTGATGGCAAGTTTCCGGGCGAAAGTTCCCGCCAGCGAGGGCACTAGTCTTTAAACAGGGAGGGAAAGAGGGAAAAAGTGCTGCACTGATCCATATCAGTGATTAAGGTTACCAACTGCTTTGCTCATCATGATATTTTAACTGTCTCCTTCAAGTTTCTGCTATGTTCCAAGTTAAATCATCACCATAGGCTCTCTGATACTTTTATTTTCAACTTTTGCCACTGTTGCTTCTACCATTCTACTGGGCTGATTTCCATGATTTTTGGGGCTATCGATGGGTGATGGTTTCGAAATGAGTCCACTCTGTTTAAATTGGACGTATTTCTAATGTATCAAACGGAACTAAGCGCCATATGGGGAGGAAGGTAGAGGGGGGCTTGGATTGGCGGCAGAAACGGGCGTCGAGCTCGTGCCGTCCTATACCCGCAATGCTTTTCCATGGCGCTTAGTTCCGTTTGACAGAACGCGCTATCCGGCATTCTTAATTCCTCAAAAGGAACTCAAATTGGCGCTTAGTTCCGTTTGACAGAAATACGTCCAATTAACTCCCAGGGGCACCCGAAGCGCCCTCTGTTTCACGTAACAGGTAAGGGGCTTCGCCCCCTAGTATATTCATATCCTATTCAAAAACCACTTTCAACGAAAGAATCCGGCCCTTTAGAGTTTTGGGTATTTCTTTAAATCTGAATGGAGAACAAGTTGGACATTCGAGTTATCATTTTTCCGGTTCACCCTGTCTGACATTTGTCATTAAGATTGTTTCAAAAAGTTAGGGAATGAGCTCTCCATCCTTGCCCGGTCACTATAGTCTCTACTATTACTTCATCCATTGTCATTTTGGAGGAAACTAACTTACTTGTCCGGAGAATCCGTAAAATAATCTTTATCATATTGCGAAGACAATAGTCAATGGCTCTCATCGTGTAACTTTCTGTAAGCGTATCAGTGAGACTATATTTTGTCAAAAAAAAAACTGCTATTTCTGGCCTCTGTAAAAGTACCTATTTGCATAAGTAAAACTAAAAATTTACATCCGACTTAAAATTTATACACTGTCTCTGAAAGAGCCAGCACTATAGTAGTTTTGTGTAAATGTAGTCCTGTATGCAAACAACTGAAGAGGGATGTTTCATAAAACACATTTCAATCGAAGGGGTGTTTTTCCCTATTTTTAGATCTCTCATAATCGGATTATACACTAAACCACACATTTGATGTTATTCTTTTTTGCTCTGTGTTACAGTACTTCTGTGTGATGCTCTCGCCAATTTGGATGCGAACCTGGATCGGAGGTGTAATGAACCAAGGATTCCGTAGTGATTATTTCCAGAAAGCAGGAAAGCATGATCAACAAGATAAAATCGCTATGACCTGATCATTATGAGATTCGGCGAAGACATCGCTCTTGAGGGCGCTTTCCTTGAATTGAATTTTTTGCAAAAAAAAAAAAAAAAACGATCCTTGAGCTTGAGATCGATGAGGACACGTTCATTGTGAACCTTGAAAGAACTGAACTTGATTTGGACACACAAAGACGCATATCCATGAGCTAATTTTTATCTATAACTGATCCGATTTTGCGTGGTTCTCTTCCGTTTTTCTTGACTGATACTTGTTATTTTTAATTTTTAAGTAACGTAGTTGTGAGGTTTTTTTTTCTTCTTTTGAACCGTTTTGGAGCGCTAAATTACCTGAATTCTTCTACATTGATATTCTGTCGCAGTTAATTTATTCGTATTCCGTTGTGAGAGAAATCCATGCTCTTATTCGTCCAATCTTACTTCAAGGCTATAATTAGTTGTTACAGTAATAGTAATGCGTTTATATTATTTTTGTGTGTAAGCTTTTATATTAAGATATTAATTATAAGATTCTACACGTCGTTCCGTACAAATGTTCTTTTTACAAGAATAAAGTTTTTTTCTTCCGAAAATATAATCAGCTTTTTCCATCTTTATCGCATTAAAAATGAGAAAAATAATGTATAAGACGACCAACAAATAAACAGATAATTTAATATTTATTGAATACACTCACTGATTAAAAAACGTTTTTCTTAATGACTGAGAACTGATTTTTGAAAATGATTGAGAGATTTGTTTTTAAAATTCTGATGAGTTTTCTTTTAACGTTGAGAAAAGTAAAATTTGTCATCGATGACAAAGTTACATTTCTTTGAAATAAAACGAACTCGTTTTAATTAAAAAAACAAATCTATTTTACTTAAAATGTACATGAATAAATAAATTCTTCACCTCATAAAGTTCTCTACATATTAAAGAAAAATGTGTTTAGTCTAAAAACATGTTTTTTAACCATGTTTTTTCAGTGAATCCTGAGAAGGCAATGCCATGAATATTGTTCCGGAAGCTACAGTTTTGAGAGCGATGACGAGGACGTTAATGACGTTTTCCATCAGTTGGCCGCATTTATGCTAAAAAGAAACTATGTTACATGCAAACCCTATGCACATAGTTCCGTTCCTCATGAACGTGTCCAGTTTTATAACGTCAATTAGGAGATCAACGATCTTTTGACAAATTAAATGAGAGCAAGGAAAACCGACTCTTTATGGCTTAATTGAAGAAAGAAGCTTCTGATATGCAAACGAATTATTAAACCTCTGAGATAGCAATAATGCAAAAGAAAATTATTTCAAGACGAATCGGCAAAGTTGCGAATGCTGACCATAGAGCCGAAGGTTTCGCGGCGTCGCGTCGTATCTATGTCCGTGATCAACTCTAAATGTCATTTCGATGCCCGGGTCTCCTTGAGGGCTACCCGCATTTTTCCTCTCCTTCGCCGACGAAAGCCATTTCCCATTTTCTGGTGTGCGCGACGCTGAAATCGTGTAATAGATTTCAGGCCGCTGCACTTCCTCAACCAGGAGTTAATCATTATGAGCATCATAAAGTTGCCAATTGACTTTTATAGTTGATCGAGGTAGAACCAAAAGGTGGATATTGTATGAACAATATGTCAACATCGGTGCGCTATTGTTTCCAAATTGTAGTCTTTCTCGGCGTGGTTTGTAGTAAATCAAGAATCGAATCCATTTTCTGTATGTGAGCTTTCCAACCATAAGCGGATCCAAATAAGGGGGCGTAACAGAAAAAAAGGAGTGTTGACAAGGCGTGTTTCTGTTTGACAGAAAAAAAGGATGGAAAAAGGGGAAGAAAGAAACGATGAAGGATCAGAGGAGAGAAGATGGAAGGATCTTTATATTTGGTAATTGTTCATGACCATGACTCAAACTGCACAATGTCGAAAATTTTCTGATAGAAGTTCTCTGGACCCCCCGCCCCTTTCCGCCCCCCTCGTTTGGATCCGCCTATGAATTCAACGAATCAGATTTGCTTTTTCTCTCAGTTGTGTCAACAGTTTTACTAGTTCAAACTGTCACATGGCAGAGTTAGAGATATATTTTAAGTCCTTGACAGGCATACTTGCTTATCAAAATTCTAGACAGGGTATTTTCTCGCTATCACAAAACTTTGCAATGCACGGTTCGTTTCAGAGGGAGGTAAATGAAATTGTGTTGCCCACTCAAAATTCCTTCGGGATCTTGAAGTAGGATGCTTACACAGTCATTTAAGCCTAAAATGAAAATATTCTGTCGAGCTCTTCGAAAATAAAATCGATTTTTGTGTTTTTGGCGCTAATATGGCCTTCAAAGACGATCGATGATTCAATTCCGATGGGTTGTGCATATGTAAAATGGTACATGTGTGATGGACTCTACGTATTTTTGGACCAGGAATCGATTGAGCAGGGTCCCGAATCGGTCCGAAGCTTCATNTATTTTCATTTTAGGCTTAAATGACTGTGTAAGCATCCTACTTCAAGATCCCGAAGGAATTTTGAGTGGGCAACACAATTTCATTTACCTCCCTCTGAAACGAACCGTGAATGGTGGTACACGAGGAAAAAGCGCAAAAACTCTACATATAATACATCTCATATAATACCTTGTTATACCTGAACCGGATAAACCTATTTGCCTCAGCTAAAGGCTCTTAGATTTTTCCTAGGTACGATAAAAATCCTGATTTATTTTGCGAGGAAAGATCTGTACTTTTACAGGATGCCTGTCATTCTTAATACGTTCAATTTCCTATAATACTGTGCAACACCTCTGTTGTGAAATAGTTGCTAATATACCGCTGGCCATAATATCCACTTAGGTTTGTAGGTGCCAGTGAGCCTCTTGCGCTGGCAGCACGCCGCTCCGCTCTGTTAGGCTTTAATATTTATACTCGCATGACCAGCGTTTTTTAACTCATGATTTTGAAATGTTTGTACACTCTGCATCGATTATTCTCATTTAAATTGATGGGGAAAAAATAAGTATCGATTTATCAAAAGAGGGTATTAATGTAATGTGTGTTTTTTAAATATTGGTGGTTCCGTGTCAAATTTAATGATTTCCAAAGCACTTCAATTTTTTCTTTTACATTTTGTGCTTTTATTGTGCTGCAGCGAGGTGTAAACGCAACCAAATCCTCAAAATTTGACGTATTTGACTCTAAAAGATCGATGTACAAATGGGTTAGAACTAAAGATTGCGTGCTTCTTGGTTTTTTTCCCCTCTTTGATTCGTTTCTGTCGGCACAACAGCGGCTCATTGAGATTAATGTCGCTTGGAAAAGGTTTTACAAATATTTGTCACGTTTTAAAAATATAAATATTAACAAAATGAAGTAATAATTTCTAAAAAAAAAAATAAAAAAAAAATAAAAAAAAGTACCTATACATACATAAGGTAACTTGTGCATCGGATATTTTAAGGATAGAAATAAAACCAAATATTCACCAATGACAATTTAAAATGATGATTCAAAGGGAGAAAGTAACATTTCATTTAGAAAATGAGCAACCGTAACAACACCTCCTTCTCTCTTAATTTCATATTGTCAATAAAATTTTACATACCGACTAAAATATAACGCTTGGACCAAGTCATTGTTCCTTATTTTACGTGTGGGCGTAAACTACTGGACAAAAAAGGTGCGCGGACAAAAAATCGTTGACAAAATGTCCTGAAACCCTATCAGAGGCTTTTTTATCGGGGCCGTATCATGCATGGTTTCATTGTAATATTCGGAGCACTGAAAATTGGCGGATCCAGAAAATTGGCAACATTGCTTTTCCTCATTTAAACCTATGGAAATGTATCGATTCTTGGAAGGGCCAAGTGCCCCAACAAAATTCGATTATTTAACATAGGTTTAAACGGAGGGAATCCGGTGTTGCCACATTGCTGGATCCGCCTCTGGCCACTGAGAGAATTTTTTTTACAATGGGCCTGTCGCAAACTTCTGCTAGAGCAGAAGTAAGAGTTGTTGCTCATAGAAAGTGTCTCCAAAATCATGATGAGCGCATCGGCAAAGTCTGAAATATACTCTTTACTTCAAAATTTGCATAAGAAATTTTGCGTTTTTTCGAGCTCCTCGCTTCAAAAACGATACCACGGCACAGGTAAACATTTCGTTAGAGGAGTCATTCCATTCAATCCCTGCTCTACATGGCCGACGCTTCCACGCAAAAGTCGAGGGAAGCAAGAGGTCAATTAAGGCGGATATCTATCTACGTGAGAAAAATGTGATAGTAAACACGCCGATTGTTATCAGGTGGTTAGATTCATCGTCGCAGCACATGGGTTTTGGCGGATTGGTGTCGGCTATGTTGATAATTGCAAAGTATCCTTGTGAGCAGGGGTTGGATGGAATGACTCCTCTAACGAAATGTTCATCTGTGCCGCGGTATCGTTTTAGAAGCGGGAAGCTTGAAAAAAAAACCGCAAATTTCTCGTGCAAATTGTGAAGTAAGGAGTGAATTTTAGACTTTGCCGATGCGCTCATCATGATGTTTGAGACACTTTTTATAAGTAACAGATTTTATTTTTGCTCTAGCAAAAGTTTGCAACAGGCCCATTGAGACTTAGTGTTTACTATTAATTGCCATTCTGTCCGAAAGTTGACTAAATCTAAATACAGAAATTTTTCCAGGATGTTGTGTGCCACTCAGAAATAGCTCATCAATCGAAGTGGGAAGTTCCCAAAGCTGCTTGAATGTGCTGGTAGCTTGACACAGCGTTGCGTCGCGCGTCGTGAAGGGACTAAGGGAGTCCAAAGTTTAGGACACGGCTTATTTGTTAAATCCTGGTTGAGTCTCGAACTTAGTAGTTCAAGACTTCTTCGAGTTAAATCTTTTCAGCCGAGAGCCCACGAAGTATGCCTCTTAGAGCAACTTCCTTGATATTGTTGCTGATTTGTTTCATAAAAACGGGTGAATAATATGTGAGTCAGGTTCATCGATGTTTTGAAATCCACGCGAGAGCCGAGACAGCCAGCCAGAGAGAATTATTGTGTCGGCTGCTCCAGTGCTCCATACCTGGTCAAAACTTTCCCGTCAGAGGCCAAGAGATTCCAACGGGTCTCGGTCCCCATCGGGATTTCATGGGGACCCATAGAGAGGTACACCAGGGATTTGGGTCTCTATAAATGGACGTATTTTCACCGAACAGATCTATGTGCTAGTGGGAAAAATGGGGTGTGCTGAGGGTGGCAAAATTTCATGAAAAATAGAATCTTGAAATTTCGCGTGAAATATTTCATGAAATTTATGAAAGATATTGAAATTTCGCGTGAAATATTTCATAAAATTTATAAAAGATATTGATAAGTATCGGCTCCTTTTCATGTTTCGTAAAATATAAAAATTGTGACTTTCTTTTATTTTTGTGTGTTTTAGTGCGGGTTGCATACTCTAGCCCCTGAAAATTATGAAATATTTCACAGTCTCGTGAAATTTCATGAAATATTCCACTGAAATTTTCAATCTTTTATTTCCTTCTTATGTTTCATGCCACCCTGGGTGTGCTCATGGTGAGCCGGATAAGAAATAATTAAAAAAACGTGCGTGATTCCTTTTGGTAA